TTTTTTGAAACAGAATAAAATAGGTAAAATTTTATTGACAATAAACCAAATTTTACATTTACAATGTATTGTATATATACATACTATACATACACATATATATGTACACACACACACACACATATATATATATGTATATATTATAATTTAATATTTTTTTGAAACAGAAAAAAATAGGTAAAATTTTATTGAAATAAAAGCCAAACAAATTTTACATTTACGACGTATTGTTGATTTAATATGCTGAATCATTATTAATGGAATATAGGCCTACCTATTATATTTTTATAAATTAATCAACAATTATCTAATTAATCGCACTATCGTAAATTGGCCTATTAAAGCATTATTGAAGTATTATTAATTATTCACTAAAGCATTATTCGAGCACCTTTATTAATATTATTGTTATTATTATTATTTATTTTTTTATATATATTATTTATCAACCATATTAACATTGAAAACATTAATATGCATATGTGGATAAAATTATCGCAGAAAATAAACTTATAATTTATAAGATTATTTTTTAAAACAGAATCAAATAGATAATGTTTTTATTTAAAAACATGTTTTGCACGGACTTAATTTTATTTAATATGCTGATTATTGCTATTTCATTAATCAAACTATCGTAAAATTATTATTATTATTATTATTATTATTGTTATTATTATTATTAAACCAAAGAAATTTTACATTACGACGAATTGTTGATTTAATATGCTGAATCATTATTAATGGTATATAGGCCTAACTATTATATTTCTATAACTTAATCAACAATTATCTCATTAATCACATTATCTTAAATAGGCCTATTGAAGCATTATTGAAGTATTATTCACTAAAGCATTATTCGAGCAAATTCATTATTATTATTAATTTTTTTATATATTATTTATCAACCAGGTTAACATTGAAAACATGAATATGCATATGTGCATAAAATTATCGCAGAAAATAAACTTATAATTTATAAGATTATTTTTTAAAACAGAATCAAATAGATAACGTTTTTATTTAAAAGCAGGTTTTGCATGGACGTAATTTTATTTAATATGCTGATTATTACTATTTCATTAATTAAACTATTGTAAAATCATTATTATTATTATTATTCTTATTATTCTTATTATTGTTGTTTGTTTATTTTTTGTTTTATGTATATGCCTAGGCCTATATAATATATATTGTATACATTTAATAATTTAATTATAAATGATTATTTAATATAATGTTAACAATAATATAGGCTAAGCTAGAACTAATCAATTATTGATATAATAAAGGCAAATATTTAGAACATCATTAATACAACACCTTCATGACAGTCTAGCCCTCCAAATCTTGTTTTAATAAATAACTGAATTCACTTCAATGATATATTTTGATCTTCATTCATTATTATTATCATTTACTTGTTATTATTATTATTTATTTATTATTATTATTATCTGTATTATTATTATTATTATTATTATTATTATTATTATTATTATTATTATTATGTCTTTGCCATTAACATTATCATTGTTTGTCTGGTAGGCATCTTGTACAGGGACATGTTTTTGCCTAACCATTACGTTTTGAATGAAATAAATTTATGAATTATGAATTACACCAATGTCATCTATCGATAAAAACGTCGATTCGATTAATTAACAGCAAAAACGGCAGCTTTTTGGCACTGCGGCAGTGCCGATAGAAAACAGCAGCTTTTTTTGGCACTGCGGCAGTGCCAAATCGGCACTGCGGCAGTGCCGATAGCAACTACCTTATTAACCAATCACGGCCTGGAATGGTAAGCTTTGCCGGGCCCGTAGCCAGGTCATTTCAAGGGGGGGTTCTCTGGGCGTGGGGTCCAGGGGCCTGCCTAAGGGCCACGGTGGGGTCGGGGGCGAAGCCCCCGAAGCCAGAGCAGTTTTTGTGTTTAATGGGTCTATATAATGTTTTAAAAGCAGTTATGTTTTGAAAAAGATCTATGTTATAAAAAGGTGGTAATATAATAAAATTAGAAAATATTTTGAGAATTGGCATGTTTAAAATAACAACGAAAGATATAAAAAATAAACCCTCATCGCATAATCAATATCAATATACTCAACACATTTATTATAGAACAAAAAAAAAACCCGATTCTTCTTCTTCCTCTCCTTCTTCTACTACTTCTTAACTCTCATTTTGTA